CGATTCCTCTAAAATGCATTGCTGATCATGTTATACCCTCAGGCTTAAAAAACCACCGATTTCCCCTATTCCCTATAACAGAGTTTCTCAGCTGTGGCACTGACTGCCTTGGCCAAATAGCTCTTCTTTGTGGGTCTGTCCTGAACACGTCAGATGCTTAGTGGCATCCTTGCCCTCTGCAGTATACAGCAATATAAACTCCCCTGTGGTAGGCAGAATAATGTCCCACCAGTTATCTATGCCGGAATCTCTGTTATCTGTGAGTACATCATGGCAAATGGAATTAAGGTTTCGGATGCAATTAAAGGTCACTAATCAGATGACCTTAGAATAATGAGATTATTCTGGATTATCCAGGTGAACTCAGTGTAATCACAGAGTCCTGAGGACAGTCGGAGAAATAAGTGACTAGGGAGGAAAGGACAGGAATGTGACATGGTTGACTTTGAGGATGAGGGAAGCGGGCCACTTGCCAAGGAAAGACAGCAGACCCTAGAGACTTCAGCAGGAATACAGTCCTTCCAATGCCTTGAATTTAGCCTAGTGAGACCTGGTGGAACTTTTAATCTCTAGAACTGTAAGATAGTAAGTTTGTATTGCTCTAAGCCATGAAATTTGTGGTTGTTACAACAGTTGTAGGAAGCCAATATAGTACCACCTTCACCAGTTTTGACATGGCAAAATGTCTACAAACACTTCCCAATGTCCCCTGTGGAAAAGTCACCTTAAGGTTCAGAATCACTGATCTATATAAGTGTCCAAACTCCTGAGAAATGAACAATGATACTTTTTAAAATACTTGGTAAACATGATCACCCAACTAACAGGGAAGTACAGCGCATGCTGCAGGCCCAAAAGATCTTCTCACTTCAGACACACTCTACATCCTTTCACCTCTCTGTAGATGTCATGCCAAGGGGTTTTTTGGAATGTAAAGAATGTGCTTTGGCTGTCCTGTCATTTCTATCCACATCTATAACAATCCCCCTCCGCAGTTTGCTAGAATTCTAGTTTCATCAGGTTACTGCATTGAAAACCCTATGATTGCTGCATACATTAAACTGCAGGGGTCCTAACATTCCCTTCCAAGCACATTATTTCTCTGAAGCCCCTGTCATTATTCTTTGTCTGAAACGCTGGCATTACCAAAATCTCTCTGCCTTTGTGTATCTATTATCTTCTCTCTCATGAAGAGATCTTTCCTTTTCTCTCCTTGTACATGGCAGACATCTGTGAAAATCAAGTTGAAGTATTCTCTACAGAGTGAAGACTTTCTTGACCCCCCTGCAAAAGGACAGGGAGTTACCACTCTTCCTGCTTTGGTCTCCTGTAATGCTGATCCTTCTGTACTGTGCCTGTTGGTTGGCTACTTCATCCCCTTGTTAGACTATTAGACTGGGAGTTCTTTAACAGTAGAGGAGGGCTGGGGATTTAGCTCAGCGGCAAAAGCGCCTGCCTGGCAAGCGCAAGGTCGTGAGTTCGGTTCCCGGTACGGGAGGAAAACAAAACAAAACAAAAAACAGTAGAGGACATATTGAAGTCTCTCTGCATTCCTGAAACTAGAGAAATGCTTCTGCTCAAGAAATTTCTGCGAGCCAGGGTAGTGGCACATACCTGTAATCCCAGCCACTCTGGAAGCTGAGGCAAGAGGATTACAAGTTTGAAGTTAGCTTGGGCAATTAAGTGAGACTTTATCTCAAAATATAAAAAGTAAAAGGGGCTAAAGATATTACTCAGGGCTCCCTCAGTTAAGTCCATAGTACAAAAAAAAATATCTGTGACATGAATGAAGAAAAGTATGAGTCATGGATGGATGTAAAGAAATAACTTTATGCGTTACAGAAGCTGGTAAACTCTCAGTCAGCTATGGGCACAATCCTAACTCTGTTCCACAAGAATGAGGAGGACTGCAGGATTGAAACCAGAGACTGTATCCCTGTGTCTCTATTCAGGGGTATGGCAGAGCTTGGCTACTAAGAACACAATTTGAGAAACATGCACCAATTCTCACTATATACCGTGTAGCCCTTTGCCTTCTCCCCTTCTGTACTCACAGATATTCTATCCAGCATGTCCATGAAACAGATGTTGTTAAAGCAATGCTGAAACACATCATGTGGAAATATGAACAGAGTCATACCTGACTTTGCCTAACACCTTCCAGGATTAGGCCATAAAACAACCATTTATGAACACTGAGTGAGCACAAGGAATAGAGCTACAGGCATTTATGAGAGTCCTGGGAATGGGAGCCATTGTATCAACAGATTAGATTAAACAAGAAAATCTAAAATCCACTAAATGGAAAAGGATGTAATCCATCACTGGCTAAGCCTAAAAGTGAGCTCCCAGGTTTTCTTATAGATTCAGGGGAAGAGAAACAGAAAATTTGTATAAACTATTACAGGTACATGAGGTTTGCAGCCTGACTTCAGAGGGATGCTCATGGTTTTAGAATCAGAAGAAGGCCCCTGAGAAACTCCTGGGCCAGCTGATAGTCTTTTGCTTGACACTAACAAGATAGTCGGAATGAGGCACTATATTCAACTTTACTAATGTAGCTGCTTTCATTTGAGGTGATTTCCACCCCCAGAGGATATTTGGCACTTTCTAGAGACACTTTTTGTCATACTGATAGAGAGGAATGCTACTGGCATCTAGTGGGTAGAAACCAGGGGTGCTGCTCAACCACCTGTAATATGCACAGCAGCCCCACAGCAAAGAATGTATCCTCTGCAGATGTCAATATTATCAAGTCTGAAAGTCCCTGAGCCTGAGTAACAGGGATCAAATCTGGATGAGCCTGGGAAAAGTACAGGGATCAAATCTGTATGAGCCTGGTCTCCCTTCCTTGGCCTCTAACCAACAGTGCAAGGTGCTCCTTTGCTGGACTGTTGACAATCATTAAAAAATATTCTCTTTTAGGACAAAGACTACAGCTTGCTTGCAAATGAGAAGGACAAGCACTGCCCAGCAAGATGAATTTTCTTGTTTTTTTGAGAGAGTTACAGAGTATTAAACTTTTCAAAAGTAATCCAAGTCATTAAATCCCAGACCTAGGATTTAGGTTAGATTATCTCAGTCTCTACTAAGCAAAATCAGCATCAGACCTACATGTCAGAATTCCATCCAATCACTTCATATCTCCCTTTAACATAAAGAGATTCCAGCTACCTCATCCCCATACAGACATAAAACATTTATGGAAAAAAATCTATTTTTGCTAGATGGCTATGTACTTAATTTTAACCACTACAAAAAGGTAAAAGTCAAGATATATGACCTCCATCAGAGTATTCAAACATGATAAGGAAGTCAGATGTCACTCAGTATTACTGCAGTTAGTTCAGATATCTGTCCACTGATTATAAGATTTTGATGGATAAGAAAATAATTTTCAACAAGTGAGATCATCTACAGTCAAACACTTTTTGGTCATAACAACAATCAACAGTGTCTGTATAGTATATTCTAAATACACTATATGCAGTTACTACAGAACTCATGAACGTTCTTAATAACGCAATTGACTTCAAACACGTATGCCAGTGGCTATCTAATCCAAGAAGGTGGCTTCCTTTTTCATTTATCTCAACTCCTTGAGATTAATCTGATAATGTATGCTTCTGAAACAGAAGCAGGAATCTAGCTTCTCCTGAAATGCAAGAGTTCAACATTTTTATTTTTGTTAAAAAGGCTATGTACTTCAAACTGAGTCCCCTAGTTTGAAATTAACATCTGCTTGCTGCCCCCAACTTTTTTGCTGCTGCCTCCCTTCCTCAAGAAGATGGTCAGCACAGTTAGGCAGATTTGTTTGTTTTTTTGTCATCCATACCCCCTCAGCAGCAGCAGCAGCAGCAGTCACTTTGGCACAGTAACTAACATTAATGGTATGTGATGCTAATATTTCTGATAGATAATGCTGGGGTCTGTTTCCATTAAAACTGAAATCTAAATTATCTCATGTTCATGGAGCTGAGTATGATCTTGGATAATATTTTCAAACTGTTTTGCTTGGTTGTGTTTCCTTTACTTAGTCAAAATCTCCAACAATTACATAGTATTCCATTTCATTTCTGTAATGCTAACTGTGCTTTAAAATATTTAATTACAACTGACGGGGATCTCCTTTCCCTTATGGAAACAGATCCAAGGCAAATCTATAGAATTTGTGGACTAAAAGGGGTAGCAATTGGTCATTTTTAAACCAACTACTATTTATTCTCTAAAAGCCTGCTGCTTTCCAAGTACCCATCAACCGCAGTCTCCCAATAGCTCTATTCTCCATTCTTAACCAGAAAGCAAACATTTTAAGGGTATCAAATAGCTGCCTCTGAGTTCCCTATTTACCGTTGATTCCTGATTCATGTCTATTTCACTAACTACTAATTGTCCTTAGTGGAATTTGGGCATATTTCCATGATATCTCATACTCCTAGGCAGAGAAAGTATTCAGTACCATGGATTTCTGAAATTACACCTTTAGAGAAAAGAAATCCAAACTAGAGAATTCTAGTAGTCCACAAAGACTGCACTCTGCCTACCAAATGCATGCTCTTAACGACATCCTTCAGAAAAATGCTCCTGTATTCTCTGTAGGACAACCAGCTGGTACATACATCAAAATACCTTTCATCTGACTGTTATAAACAGCTTATTAATAGATCATTAAAGTTTCAAAAAATATCAACATTCGGTGAAGAAGTAAGAGGACCCTTTGAAATTGCCTGCAGCACAAACAGGAAATCAGAACACCATCTCTTCCACTAGCTTTCTTAACTGCTCCAAAGTGAAGCCAACCAGTCCTAAAGGACACTCAGGTGTCCACTAGGGGTGTTCTGTTTCCAAGCACCCTTTGACTAGCCTGAGTCTAACAGCTACACCACGGAAACCCCTCGGGGGGTGCTTGGTATTATAAATATAAAAAATTAAACACAGCTCCTAGAACTGCCTGGAGTTTCCAGCTTTGGGTCACGAGGCGGTATGGCACTGCTCCCTACCTCGGACTTCCACACGATGTAGGGGTGGCCACCACGGCTGTTGGATGGGGGCTGAAACTTCCTCTGCTGGAGCCACCTCCTGGGAGAAGCAAAGATGCCATTGGGGCCTCCTCCAGAGGAACAGAGGATGCTGGTGGTGCTGCGGCCACTACCTGGCCCGGCCAAGACCGAAGGCAGGTCCCAAGCCATGCTCTTCTTGAGACTACTTCGGCCCAAGGGGACCTCGTAGTCAAAGTGGAAGCTGCCAGAAGGTGACTTCTCCTGCGGGGTGCTGGGTGTGGAGAAGGATGAGCAAAGAGGTCTGGGTGTTGGGAGCCGGTTGGCCCAAGAGGTGGGACTCCTGGGAGAAGGCTCCGAGCGGTGGCCAAGACCTTCGGCTAGCGGGTGCGGGGAGCAGAGGCGGCCTGGTGTGGCCCCCAGGGCACAGCCCTCTGGGCCCTTCTCGCTCCCGCAGCGGCCGATCAGGGCTGGGTCCAAGCTGCGGGTCTGGCGCAGCTTCCTCTTGGAGAAGCCCTTGGCTGAGGCCGCGCCGCCAGATGCGGGCGAGGAGCACGAGAAGACGCTGTGGAGCAGGCTCTGTGCCGACATCTCGGAGAAGCTGTGCCTGAAGGCCACCTTTTTCTCTCTCTCTCCTGGAATCCGGGAGGCTTTGGGCTGGGAAAAGAAGGCGGCTTGGGAAAAGCTGCCAGGCGGGACACGCTGAGGGCAGTGCCCGGCTCACGCGCCACCAGGACGCTCCAAGTGCCCCTGAGGGGGCAGCAGCAGGAGATCCATCACCAGTCCTCTAGGAAAAAGGGCTCCGACAGCTAGAACTTTCCCTGTAGCCCAAGTAGGAAACTCCGTAAGGAAGAGTTAGGGAGGTCAGGCGCTCTCTGGGTTCCCCGCTCCAACCAGCCAGCGCCACTCCCCCTTCCTAGCTTAGGCGGGAGACTCCGCGCTCCGGCTCGCTGGCTCTGGACAACCTCGAAGTCTCCAGCAAGCTCCTCCTCACAGCCTGAGGACAGTCCAGAGGGCTGGGGACGAGGTTGCCAGGGTGTGCGCCCAGGGAGCGTCCGCCGCGCTCCCCAGCTCGGTGAGAACTTCTCCCGCGACGGAGCTGAGCTGCCCAGCTGCGCCCTCGGCGCACCCTCGCTGTGCCCTTTCGCCTGTGCCTTTGCTTTTGGGTTCCGCAGGGCTGCTGCGCCCACTCTTTCGACTGACAAATCCCAAGAGTGCGTTCAAGTTCAAGACTCCTGCTGGAACTCGTGGGACACGGTGAAAGCTTCGCCCAGGGCCTCGCAAGGGCTAAGTGACTAAGACACTAGAGAACTGCCGACTGCGCTCAGCGCTTCTCGGAAAGGAGGAAGCTCAGGGGACCGCCTCAGGAGCGGGTGCCCGCGTTCCTCAGTAGAGTGACACTTGATATTCGCAGCCAGCTTTGGGCCTAGGACAGGCGCAGAGAGGTCCCCACACGCTCTCGCTAGAGGCAGCGGGTAGGGAGTGGCCGGGATGGGTAGGGCCAGAGGAACAGAGGATCTGGAGCAGGGGCGGAGCCTGGAGCAGGAGAAAGCAGGACGTGAAGTTTTCCAGGCGCCTAACCTGGGAAAAGCGTAGAGAGCGAGCAGCTAGCCGGTCTCCCTAGGAGAAAGTCCAGAGGAGGAAAACGCAAACCTTCTCCCCAGACTCCCCTCCCCCAGACGGAGGGCGCTCCTTCTCCACTCACGTTTCTGGAAAGGAAGGGGAGTGTCAGATTGCACCCCACCCACTGGTGTCGGATAGGCAGCCTGGGACTTTTGTACTGAAGTTGGAGTTAAATCACCACCACCGTGATTTTTAAAAAGGACAGACGTGCAGTCAAATGCTGCGGTTGCCCATTAACCGGTTGGAGGTGGGGAGTCACTAAGAAAAGTGGAGGGGATGGAGTCCTCTCCGGGTAAGGGTCGTGAGAGTACAGAGCATTCCAAGAGGAGGGTCAGTGGAGAAGGCACAGAGATAGGCGCGGATAAAACGATCTGTCTCCGGTTCTGTCCGGAGCCTCGAGGTGCACCAAACGGGGTGGTCATAACGCTGGGGAGCTGGAAAACGCTGGCAAACTCAATACTCCGAGGTTCCACATGAGTCTGGAAGCAGCTTTTCTGGCCCGACCCCCAGGACCAATAAAGGGCAAAGCATCAGCCACCTCTTGTGAGGCTTTTGATGGAAAGCTTAAATTTTGCAACCGCGTTTTAACAACCGTCTTCACGTTTTAACAACCGAACAGACAGAGTGTTGGAAATACAAATACGTGTGTACTTTTTGTGTTTGTGTGTCCCCTTTTACCACTTTGGAATGAAAAGAATTTTATATAATTGGGAAGATCACTTTATTATTTCTTTTATGAAAAAAATTACAATGAAATTATAAACACGGGTATTTGACCAAAAAAAACAGTTGCCTTAATAGTTGTCTAAATTTGATTTTAGGATTTGTCCCTATATTATTCCCTATATTATTATCAGGGGATAAGTAACTTACTGTGACTTTTAAAAAAGTCGTTCGATGTCCAAATACGTAGAAGGAGAAAGATGAGGAAATCTAGCAGAGAATTCCTTACCTCTACAAAGGACTGTGACAGGAGTCTTCGCTGTAGGCTGTACTCCTTTCTGTAAATGCAGGGGACAGGGGGCACCGGGATTCCTTCCTGTACCTTTAAGGAGGTATATGCAGCCAGAACACAGAGCCACATTCTAATTTCCCAGCGCCCCAAGGCTATCTATTCCTTCTCACCCTGAAAGGCATAAGTATTTTCAGTGGCTGTCCGTCAGTGTGCAGCTGAGAGACAGCATTTACGATCCCTTGCTGTCCTGCCTGACTACACACCTCCAAACAACTTCGGGGGGTGGTAATGTTTGCTTTCTTCCCTTCTCACACAAGGCACCTTGAAAGTAAGTGTGTGGGTCTTGCCTGACTTTTCTTGGGTAACAATACCTTGTAACTTGTCACTAATTCTGAAAACACTTAGTAGTAGTCTCTACTGCTGGAATGCCAGCGTATGGTTGGTTATGCCTTGCTGGATTTTGGCATTTGAGGTAGATTGTTAACAGAGTCACACTTCACAGGACCACTTATAACTCCAGAGAGTGGAGTAAATGTAATTTGTAACTCATATGAGTTCTACGTCTCTAAGCCCATATGATGAATATAGAGTTGAAAGCACAGCCTGCTGCAATTGTGTAGGGCTAATATGAGTTTCCTACAGAGACAAAGGCAAGCATTCATGGTGCAGGGTAGAAAGCCAATGAGCAGAACTCTTCTATTGGCACTCTGGGGCTTGCCGTACACACGTGCCAGTTAATTCATCAGCTTATTTCCCATGAGTCTTGACCCTCCATTAGCGTGAAACTTGCTTCGTGGTTAGACACAATGAATAAGTTATTTTAAATACATTTGTGCGAGGTTTAACTATGGACCTGGCTTAAAAGGCACACTGTTGAGCGATTCTATTGTGTAAACCTCGTGGAGTATATTTAAGCAAACCTAGTTGGTACCTATCAATCACTCAACCTGGCTACTTGATGCAATCAAAAGATGCAATAACATGAGATGTGTGAGGCTGCTGCCACTGTGATACAGCATACTGTTTTACAATAAATATTTTCTAAAGTGGGAATACACTCTACAATAACAATAAAAACTATAGTATACGTATTCCAACCATGTAGTCATTATTATAAATATCAGGTATTCCATACTCTACATAATTGTGTGTGCTCTACTTTTATAGTATAAATACCACAGGTTTATTTACACAAACATTACCACAGGATGTAATGGATTGTACTATTACATCACTAGGGAACAGGAGCTTTTCAGCTAAATTATCATCTTATGGAATCATGGTATATATGGTCCATCGGAAATGTCCTTTTAAGGCAAATGACTGTATTCATTTAATTAAGCTGGAGCTCATTTTAAGAACTCAGCTGATGTAAGTATGTGTGCATTTGGGTAGCAATGTGATGGGTCTTCCAGAAATAAAGATTTTGTAAGAAATTACATATATTTGATTTTTGATATTTTAAAAGCTATTTTGATTGTCAACCTGACTGATATTAGGTCTATATTGCAATCATGATTTGTGATGTATTCATTTACTCCCAGTTAGGGCATCCTATTTTATTCTTATTTGTTACATAATCCCTTCCACATTGTTCTTTCTGACTGACTGTCAGGTTATGCCAAATGCATTAAAGGAAGATCTTTGCATTTCATTTACCAGTTTCAAGACCAAGTAACTGTGTTTCTTCGGTCCCCAGAATTTTGTCTATAAGTCATCAACTACTTTCAGAAGCAATATAACGTCTAGTCTAAAAATAAATGGTTTTTAGATACACTTTTAAAAAGGTCTGTAATATTTTGCTCCATTATTAGGGTATTTGCTACTTAAAAAGTAGTGCCACATTTGTTTATGAGTATTTTTTTCTCAGAGGCATAATTAAAGCTGTAGCAGATTGTTTTATTAAGGCATAGAGGAGTCTGTTTAAGAAGTTCAGGATTTTTTTTAAATGACACTATTCCATGTGGTCATAATCCAGGAATATCCCACTGGAAGTTATAGAATCCTGTGTCTGACATCAAGGTATCCTTTTGTCTGGGATCCTAGAGAACTCATCAGTATTTTTTCTATCTCCTCGAGAGACCATGCTACAAACATACACATCTTACCATCAAAGAATGTATTCTGGTGCTAACCTAAATTTCCCTTTTCTTAACATTATCCCTTCAAATTTTTCATATCTCAAGCCAAAATTCCTCTTTACTCTTGGTGTTTAGACCCCTGAGCTATTTGTAGATTTTTATCATGCCTCTTGGGTCTGACTTTGTGGTTTGGCTACACTATAAAGTTGGTATTTTGCTTTAAAGCCATCATTGTTGATGATGTTCTCTGGCTTCCCTCTAGTTGCTTATTCTGTTTCAGTCCTGAAGTCCAGGTTAGAGCAACCAATTTGCCCTTGTTTGTTATATAATTCCATTGCTTAAATGGCCCCAAATCACAGTGAACTTTCTGATTGAGTAGCATCTAATATTTCAGACTTCTATCTGATTGGCTCCCAAATCTTAGTCAGCATCACTGATTTTTGTTTCATCTTGCTCATGTCTCCCAAACTGATTGTGATCCCTCTGATATCATTTCCATGTTTTTAGTGGGTAAACAATTCGTAGCATCTCACTCACCCATAGAAGTCAAACGTTTTGCCTCCAAGCTCCTGAAACATGAAAAAGGGGCATCTTTTTCATCTATGTGACATGGAATATACAGGAAATGTGTGGAGAACTTTTACAGGACTTAAGAGTGCTAATTACAATAGCCAGACTACCTCAGGATTAAACTATTTCGTGATTGAAACTAGGAATTTTTGCAGTTGAACTACTAATATTTCTTTAGATTCCTATTCCAGAATATCCTTGGAATGAGTATAACTGCCGAGGCATTGAAACTGCAAGTAATGAATGTCAATGGAGGCAAACCCAGAGTTTTTTAATACTAGTATACTTTTTATCTTTTGTTAAATTTATGTACAAACATGCCAGCTCTGTATTTCATCCTCAGCTAGGGTCAAAATAAAGAAAATCCAAATGACTATTATTATTCGTATTTCTCAGTCCCCCTCCCACTCTGTGTGCCTCATTTCATTATCCCACACCAATTGTGACCCTAAAAATATCTAATTTAATGAAGAGAAAAAATTCCTCTCTCTGTCAGCATCTGCACTGAACACAAAACAGAAAGTCACTTGGAACACTGTATGTACTCTCATTTTCTGGGTGAACAATAGCATCATGTCTGTTTTCTAGTGTTCATTGATTTATTCTGGTCCAGCGGTGGTGAACCTTTCCACACATGCCACAGTGGGCACGCAAAGCCCTCTCTATTGGCACACAAGCCAAGTCACCCCAGCATCATGCCAGAAGCCCAGTATCGGATTTACAGATTTAATTGCAGAGTTGGCCCTTTGGAATAAATAAGTCGGTTTTGAATTGCAGTTTGGTCACTCGGTCTCTAAAGGCTCTAGGCTTTAGAGAGCAGGAGTTTTGCAAAGGCATATTTTTCACTTACATGTTTATTTCTTGAGCAGGTATGAGTACAACGTGTCTAAATATCAACTTGGTACCCAAGTTAGCAGGACAGGTGAAAAGTAAAGCTTTCCAAGAATCTTAAACCTAGCTGCAACATGGACATGATTAGAGGGCGCATGTCCACTCCTGTGTCAAACCTCTATTACTGTTTAGCTGTGGTATTTGAAAGAAGCTTCCAACATCAAATCATGAATTCATGACAATCATCACTTTTATTGTTGGCTTTGAAACTTGATCTCAAGAAACTTTGAGGAATATAAATTGCCTGAAAACCAAATTTAATTTTGGTTCATAAAATATTTTTTAATACAGCTGGGTGCAAGTGATGTTCTTTCTTTGCTAGTTTTACTTTTTTCTTCTCTTTGTGGGTGAAAGTACTCTTTACTTTTAATTTATTGGTACAATTTAGATATACAAAATGATCGCATTCATAATAGGGAATTTGTACCTGTACATGATATATCTTGATTCCTTTTTTTCCCATTTCCCTTCCACTCCATTCACCCCTCTTCCTCTCTTTGTTTACAAAGCTTTGTTTCCGTTTTATCCTTCTTTTCTCATTTTTTTCTTTCTCCTCCCTTCCTTACA